TCAACAACAACATACCCATCATCAACATCATCTGCACATGGCTCCGGCCAGCCGGTGGGGCCCGTCCGCGAGAAGCACCACCCCTCGTGTTCCGAAGAAGCACGCCAAACGATGAAAGCACGACGTGCTCACGAGCCCAAACATCCGCAACAACAGGCACACCCGGAGGGGGGCAGAGCGAGAAGACGGTGTGCCTCTGAGAAGCGGCATCTTGGCGTCTCCCATGATCTCCTTGACCTTGACAGCAGCCTGCCCCGTCCCCGCACACACAAACACACACACACACACATTCGCTCTGCGTTTGCGCGCAACGCCCCGGGCGGCTGCAGCGAGTCCGACAGACTCGACTCGGAAGCGAAGCGCTCATCATAAACATAGTGAACACCACGTTTCCTAGATGTCTGCCCACAGAAATCCTGAGTATACGGGCTGAGACCTCTCTCGGTGTATGCGTGAATACTTTCGCTCACTTCCGCGGAGCCTCAGCCAGAGCTCCGCCAGTGGAGCCGCTCTCGTTTTACTTCCGATGGCTTCCACTGGCCTTCATCTGGCAAAACCCTCCGCTGTCATCCAAACACCCACATAGAATGGAACCATCGTCTATAAGACGGAGCCTGGCCACCAATACCACATCGCTACGCCGTGTAAACGTGCGCAGCCCGAAACTGACAAGATCCTCCGTCGTGTCAGTTTCTCGCGGCGCGAAAATGTCGGGGCCCTCCTCCTTGCCCCCCCCTGCTTAACACGAGGCGAAGACTTGACGTAGAGTTCAGGAACCCTGGGAAAGCGTTCCAAAACGCTATGGCACGAATTATCCTGGTCCTACCCCCGCCTGCCTTCCTCCCGATTATGTCGATGCTCCTTCTGGGGACCTTCCTGGAGCCACTCGCTCCACTCATTTGTCGACGATGCGTCAAACATCTGTCGTCTTGACTCGAACTGGAGTCGAACTTGCGTCGAGCTAGAGTCGAAACGGAATCGACATATATTCAAATTGGAGTCGAAAGGATCCGTTAGGTCGGCCTTTGGAATCTCCCTCAAACGAGCATCCGAAGATTACGCTCTGTCCGTTCTCAACTCCTGCATCCCCAAGTGGCCTCCGCGATGTCCGGGTGCAGAGTGTTCTCCGCCACGGCCGCGATCGCCTGGGAAGGACGGCGGACAGCAGAGGATTGACGGAGCCGCTGGCCCTTGGAACAGCGGGGTGGCAATTCAGGCCAGACCTCGCGACCTCTGTTAGAAGGCAACTCCTGGGAGGTCTTCGTAAGAACTATCAAGAAGCTGCTAAGCCCAATGCAGCGGATGTTCAGCACTACTTCACCAACATGAGCCCAGGATGATGCCAGATAATACGGGATGCCGCAAGATCATGCTGGATAATGCAAGGTTTCGAGAACAGGTATACCAGCGCAGATGCTGAATTTAACCTCCCAGGAGTTGTGCCAAACCTCCGGTTACTGCGAAGTCTGATCATGAAAATTTGCCAACTTCCCACCGAGAGGAAGGGGACTCCACCATCCATGTTGAGCGCCAGTCGGGGAGATGGACGGGAAAAAGGAGGAGGACCAATCAGCATCAAATGGGGAAAACGGCTCGGGTCAGAACGTACGTCGGAGGATCGGGTCACATCGGCCTGGAGTCGATATCGAATCGGATCGGCCGCGCCAGGATGCACAACAGCGCTCGTGTGAGCCTCGGGCCGCAACAGATTGTCGGAACATCGGATCCCAGAGATCCGATGTCTTGATTCTTGCGACACGGGATCCCCAGGGGCGCGACCTGCTCCCTGGGACCAGCTTCTCATCCTGAGTCTTGTTTAACGGTCCCGGGGCCCGTCAAGGCGCCCAGAGGCCGAAAGCAGCAAACACAACCTTTGTCCTATTTGTTCGATGCGTCGGATCTCTGGGTCGGAAAATCGGGATCGGATCGGCTCGGTCCGGCCGAATTCGATATTGACTCGGAGCCATCGGATTGAAGTGAGCCCCTGTGTCGCAGCGCACCACGCAGGCGACTCCGTGCAGACGCCTCGCGCAGGCAAACGAGCACGGGGCCCATGAGAATAAAGGAGGAGGAGCAGGAGGAGGAGGAGGAGGAGTAGGAGGGGGAGGAGGAGGGGGAGGAGGAGGAGGAGGACGAGCAGGAGGAGGAGGAGTGCGAGGAGGAGGAGGAGGAGGAGGAGGAGGAGGAGGAGGACGAGCAGGAGGAGGAGGAGGAGGAGTGCGAGGAGGAGGAGGAGGAGGAGCAGCTTGGCAGGAAGACGTCCGATGTACCGGCAGCGCACCCCGTACTATCGACAGGCGGGCGGGCTTCTCTGCGCGGCAAAGCCTCGGCGTTCGTCCTGTGTCCCCCGCGGGGGTCGAGCATGTGCACCTAGACCCCATGCGCCCTCGGGCAGGTTTCAGCTCCTGGTAGCACCTCAGGCTCCCTGCCACGCTCACACCTCCTGGGCAGACCACCGCGCTCATCCTGGGCAGATTGCCACGTCCGCCTCTCAGCGCGACGAGTTGGTCGACGAGGTGGACAAGCATAGGTTCGCAGGAAGCTACGACCTTGTGTGCATGCCCCAAGATTGCGTGACCTGGAAAACTTGGGACCGCTGGTGTTTGCTTCTGGTGAGCTTGACGCTATCGTGTCGATGTTGCAGTGCACTCGCTGGCACAAGGGACTAGATTCGCGTCCTGTCTGAAAGGACTCGCCGTTTCTGCGGTCCAGGATTCGAGACCCGGCGGACGTCTCAGAGCATGGGTGAGAGACCCACTAAGGGCGTAGCCCCCAGTCCCTGGTCCGCGGATCGTTTCCTATGCTTGCGCAGCTGAGATCGGTTCTGTAGTATTATGTTGTCGTGCGACGCCATCAGCAAAGACTTCGTGCTGCGCAAATTGACGTCAACAAGCTCGTCTACTGACGAGCATGCCTATCGAACCCACCTGTGCAGATAGGGATCACCTTTTTGTCCCTACAGCTGACCCTTTGTTATGTCCCTCACTGGCTGCTGCCCACTCGACATCTTGTCTCGAGGCGGGGGCCGTCGCTGACTCCTGTATCTCTGAGAAGCATAGGCAACGACGGTCGAACAGGCCTCAAGGAGCAAATGGTTCCAACCGCCTACCCTTGTGAACTACACCTCCCATGTAGCATCATCGTGCCAGTAAAGGACTCTTCGTCCCACCTGGCCTGCCCTTTGTAATTTCGCACTCCGGGTAACCAGTACGTTCCGAGGGCGGCAAAACCGTCTGCCCTGAGCAGTTCACGAGTTCCCTAGGGGATTCGATGCGTCCCCTCGGGCTCCGAAAACAGGTATCCCTGTTCATCCTCATCTTTATGCATTCGTGGATTTTCCTCCTCTCCTTCTTCTTCTCCTTCTTCCACTCCTTGGATCCTTCCCGCCCTACACGAAGCAGCCCCTTTCCTCTCCTCGCCCTGCCCTTTCCCTTGTCTTGCGCTGGCTGGAAGGAGGGCGCGCGGGTGCGCCCGTAGCGTCAGGCGCCCGCGGCGGGCCGCGGGCAAGCAAGGCGTGCACAGCGTCAAACAGACCGCAGGAGCCAAGAGAGACAGAAGGGAGGCACAAGGCAAGACGACATGACCATGGATCGCATGATGATGGCAGAAACTCGGCCGATGTCCTGTTCCCCGTGCCTCTCCCCCCCCCCCGCTGGCCCTTCGCCCGTCGCGCCGCCCTGGCCCTCTGCCCTTCGCCCTCCCCCTCTGGGCGGGGCTCGCGGCCTCCTCCAGGGTTCCTGGGGCCCCCCTTTGTTTATTTTTGGCCCCTGGGCCGGTGGCACCCCTGGCGGCGTCACCTTGGCGTGCCCCTTTTTGTTATGCGCTGCTCGGGCTTATTGCGCAAAATCACGCAGCGTTCGTGGACGATGCTACATTTAATAAAGTATATGAAAATAGAACATAGTATATTATGTTATAATATCACATCATGGGCCTACTGGCATACAATGTAATACCGCAGGGAGAACTATTGAATATTGTTCTAACTATTGAAATAGCATGCGGTACATAACATATAGCAATAGCAGATAACATCTTACTATATATATAGTTCATCCACTTTGAGATACAATACTATGAAACAACACCGCGTTATATAATGACAGTGTATAGCTGTTAAAGTCAACTTTGTCCAGCAACATTACGTAGTATAGTCGAAACAACGAAGCGTGATATAAGTTCATATAATCGTATGCCAGATCATGCAATAGTGCGAGCGTTATTCGAATGCAGTGTAAGACGTCATAGTGTGACAACTTTTTATGTAGCCGACCAGATAGTGTAACATTCTATATTACATAATACGATATACTACACCCTATGATACGAAATATGTGTTGTTATGCTATGTAGTTGTCTACATTTTATCTGAGTAGATCGTATGGTGAAACTACGGTGCGTCATACCATAGTGCTGTGCACTACACTATTATATACACGATGGCAGCGTATAATGTGATAACCATGGTATGAACGAACAATGCCCAACATGTTCAAAAGCGGGCCGACTTAGGCCAAAGCAAACAGCTCACTACGCCTGGCTGGCGCAGCAGAGGCAGAAAAAAGGCAAGGAGAGCCCCGAGGGGTCTGCGCGTGCCCTCCCTCCCCCTCCTCCGCCTCCCCCCTCCATCGCGTGTGGCAGGAGCGTGGAGGGCCGCGGCGGGGGACGGCACTCCCCTGCGGTTCGTCCTCTTATCCCGAGGATAGGCTTCGAGCCCTGTCCTTCCACTGGTGGCCAGCGAGCGAGCGAGCGAGTAGGAGAGAGGGAAAGGAAAATGAGGATGAGGAGGAGGAGAAGGACGAGGAATAGGAGGAAGAGGAGGAGCCAGGAGGAGAATGAGGATGAGGATGAGGAGGCGAAGGGAGGATGAGGAGGAGGATAAAGACAAATGATGAGACAAAGAGGAGGAATATGAGAAGGAAGAGGGGAGGAGGAGGAGGAGCAACCAAAGATCCAGCGATGTGTAACAAACAAGACAACTACTTTTTGCCGTTTTCGCAATCAGGAGGCCCTTGCTTGCCAGGCCCTGGGGCCGCCAACCAACGACAAATCGTGAAAAAACAGTCCCCGGAAGTAAGTCGAGACTTCTGGGCCCCCGTATCGAGAGAAACCAAACATCGGATCTCTGTGGAGGTGGAGCAGGAGGCGAAGAAAGAAAACGAGGGACAGCAAACAGGCAAGCAGGCGGCAACAAGGGGTGCACGTCCGCAGGGGAGATCACGATGCCAGACGTACCAAACCCGCCGACCCATTTGGGGCTACCAGGTAAGCGAGACCAGGCCTGCGACCCAAACCTCTATGATTGTTTCGCACGCGGCGCTACTTCTGTATTTTCAGGATCATGAATGGAATCTCCCACCACCTCATCCACCCCTCCTCCGTCACCCCTATTCCTCCTCCTCCTCCTCCTCCTCCTGCTCCTCGTCCTCCTCCTCCTCCTTCTCCTCTCACTCGCCCTCCTCCTGCTCCTCCCTCCTCGCCCTCCTCCTCTCCCTCCTCGCCCTCCTCCTCCTCCTCCTCCTATCTCCTGCCGGCCGGGGTCGCCTTCTCCGCCAGCCTCCGCCTCGCCCGCCTCATGCCGGCCCTCCATGGGCGTTCGCCTGCGGAGCGTCGCCTCTCGGCTCTGTCGGAGGTGGACGGCCGCTCCCCTGGCAGGCGGTCGGGGGAGTGCACGGGCAGTCCTCCTATCCTCCTCCTCTTCCTCCTCCTCCTCCTCCTCCTCCTCCTCCTCCTCCTCCTCCTCCTCCTCCCCCTCCTCGTCCTCCCACTCCCTCTCCTTCGCCATCCCTGTCGCACCCCGCTGCCAGTCGGAAAGGCCGCTTCGAAAAAGTGACTCTAGCCTTAGCGCCGCGCGCAATCGCCTTAAGCATTCGCACGAGCTCTGAGGATTGAGGGTGGGATTCGTCAGACAAAATATAAAAGATTCGCGGATGGATGACGGGCGGTTTTCGAAATGTGGCTCTCGCCGTAGCGCCGCGCACACCCGCTTTGCAAATATACAGAAGTCGAACGGATTGAGGTCGGGCAACTGTCAAAACGTGGCTCTCGCCTTCGCGCCGCTCACATTCGTCTTGCAAGAATTCGGGATCTTCTCGGATTGAGGGCAGTTCCTTTTCAATGTGTGGCTCTTAGCGGCGCGCGCATTCGTCTTACGGAATTGCAAGAGTTTCACACATTCGCATGGTTAGCGTACCAGTATATTTTTTGGGGGGAACGGTGCAGGTTTCCCAAGGCACAACAGTTACATGGATTCCACGATTCGGAATCGCCGAGACGCAACAGTCGAGATGATTCGTGGCGATGCACTTCCGAGAACCATGTGTTGGCATGCTTCAGGCTCGTCCAGCGGTTATCTCCCAACGGGGCACTTGCCTGAGTGGAGAGGAGCCCTTGTAGGGGCCTGCGAAGAGGGAGCTTGGAGGGAGGGTTCATTCCAGCACCATTGATGAGTCTTGGGTTTGCACTGGTCCTCCTCCTCCTCCTCCTCCTCCTTCTCCCTCCTCGCCCTTCTCCTGATCATCCTCCTCTTCATCCTCCTCCTTATCCTCCTTCCCCTCCCATCTAAACCCCCTCCCTTCCTTCCTCCTCCTACCCTCATCACCCCTCTCCTTCCCCCCTCCTCCCCTCCCTTCCCTTCCTCCTCGCCTGCCAGGCAGGGGGAGACCTCAAAAAAAAGGCACAAAGGTTTCTCGCAGTTCTCCCTCCTCGCCTTGCGCGCGCGGAGTGCTGCCAGCGCGTCTCGTCTCTCCTCAGCGTTGTCCTCCTCCTACTCCTCCTGGTTGCTGGTTTCTGGTTTCGAGCATGAGGTATACCCGAAGCGTGTAGACTTCAAAACTGCACAGCAAGGCAACATATGGCGGGAGACGGCCCGGAGCCAAGCCCAAGGCAGGTCATCACAGCCTGCAGGGCTTGCCCAGTCCTCTCCACGGTGGCTGTCGCCGCTACCACACGGCCCCCACATTCGAGAGCAGTCATGCTGACGCTCGGAACTGCGGCAGGGACACTGAGGCATATAAAGCCCGAGAGCCCTGGAGGACGACCTCCCTAGTCCTACCTTCAGCTCGAGCTCTTTGGGCCGTCCCAGTCCAGAGACAGCCTCCTGGGCGCCTGCACACATCCGACGGGCATTCGTTGAGAACGGTCACCCTAGATCTCCCTCCCCCCGCCTCGGTCCTCGGCCTAGGGCTCCATAATGCCTTCCAGGGTGGTTACACCTGCCTCATCCTCCTTCTCCTCATCATCATCACCCGCCTCTTCCTCCTCCTCCTCCTCCTCCCCCTCCTCCTCCTCCTCCCCCTCCTCCGCTCCTCCTCCTCCTCCTCCTCCTCCTCCTCCTCTCCTCCATCCTCCTCCCTCCTCTCCTCCCTCCTCCTCCTCCTCCTCCTCCTCCTCCTCCTCCTCCTCCTCCTCCTCCTCCTCCTCCTCCTCCTCCTCCCCTCATCCTCCTCCTCCTCCTCCTCCTCCTCCTCCTCCTCCTCCTCCTCCTCCTCTCCTCCTCCTCCTCCTCCTCCTCCTCCTCCTCCTCTCCTCCTCCTCCTCCTCCTCGCTCCTCCTCCTCCTCTCCTCCTCCTCCTCCTCCTCCCTCCTCCTCCTCCTCCTCCTCCTCCCTCCTCCTCCTCCTCCTCCTCCTCCTCCTCCTCCTCCCCTCCTCCTCCTCCTCCCTCCTCCGCTCTCTCCTCCCCTCTTCCTCCCTCCTCCTCCGCCTCCTCCTCCTCACTCCTCCTCTCGATACCATCATCACCATCATCACCGTCAGCATCATCATCATCATCATCTCATCATCATCATCATCATCATCATCATCATCATCATCATCATCATCATCATCATCATCATCATCATCATCATCATCATCATCATCATCATCATCATCATCATCATCATCATCACCACCACCATCATCATCATCATCATCATCATCATCATCATCATCATCATCATCATCATCATCATCATCATCATCATCATCATCATCATCATCATCATCATCATTATCAGCATCATCATCCTCATCCTCATCATCATCATCATGATCATCAGCATCATCATCATCAGCAACATCATCACCACCATCACCATCATGACCATACTCCTCATCATCAGCATCAGCAGCACCATAATCAGAATCATCATCATCAGCATCAGGTTCATCATCATCATCATCACCATCATCATCTTCATCTTCATCATTATCCACATCAGCATCAGCAGCATCATCATCAACCTCATCAGCAGCATCATCGTCTTCAGCACCATCAGCATCATCAAAATAATCATCATCATCAGCATCAGCATCATCGTCATGATTTGTATCACCATTGTCATCAAAGCCAGCAGCACCATCACCATCATCAACAGCAACATCATCATCAACACCATCAGCATCATCGCATCATCATCACCAACAGCAGCAATCATAATCGTCGTCAGCATCCTCATCATGATCCTGCTCATGCTCATCCTCATCAGCACCATCGTCATCATCACTACCACAATCATCATCATCAACACTGTCAACACCAGCAACACCATCACACAAAGAAACGCCACCATCACCTTCATCGAATTCATCATCACCGGCACCTTCGACATCACCATCATCATCGCCATCGTCATCATCGTCTTCCTGCTCGTACTCCATATGAGGAGGGAGCAGGGGTACAGCTTCCGATATTGTTGATGTGGTTCGGATGGTTCTAAGAGGCTCGGGGGACTCTACTGGACTCGTCCGCCTCCTCCGCCCCTTGTTATGCCGTTCCTTTTCCCTGCCTTCTCCTTCTCCTCCTCCGTGTTCCCCCTCCCTTCCTCAGCCCCCTGGGACCCTCCTTTGTCCCCTGCCTTTCCACTCCTCTTCTGCCCCTATGTCTCCTTTCTCATCCCGCCTCCTGGTCGTCGTCCTCCTCCTCATTCTCCTCACCCTTGCTCGTCACTTCTTCTCGTCACTCCTCTTCGCCACTCCTCCTCGTCACTCCACCTCCGCAGACATCCAGCTGAATTACCCCCCCCCTCCTCCCGATCCCACCTTTCCATCTCCCCCCATTCTTCCCTCCACTCCCTCCTCCCCCCCCTCCTCCTCCTCCTCCTCCTCATCCCGCTCCTCCTCCTCCTCCTCCTCCTCCTCATCCCGCTCCTCCTCCTTCTCCTTCTCCACATCCTCCTCCCTCTTCACCGCCTCCATTCACCTCCTCCCGCTTCTCCTTCTCCATTTATCCTCCTCCTTCCTTCTCATCCCTCCTTCCCAAGGGATCTTCCTAGCTGCTGCGGCCCGATCGCATTTTGCTCCGCGCGACCGACGCTTGCGTGATCGCGAAGGAACTAACAGGAGTGGATTTGGCGCGACTGGGGTGAAGGGGGCAGAACAACAGGAGCAGGAACAGGAGGACGGCACGTTCGTGTCGTGACGACGTCGGCGATGGCTTCTGGCACCGCGTGGATCGCTGGACCTTGAGAGACAGCGAACTTCCAACTGGGCAGACTGTTCGATGACTGGCCAATGCTGGGCTGCCAGCGGCGTTCAACGCTGATCAACCGGGCCAAGTTCGCCGCCGCGTTGAACGCCAGCGCAGGGTCGCCGCCGCGTCGACGCGACGCGAAGCTGCCGCAGTCAGGAAGGAGAGGGCTTCAGTCAACAGTCAGCAGTCAGCCCGCTATCGGCCGCCCGCCACTCAGCGAAGGACGCCGCCAGGCCCGCACAGCCTGGCCTTCTCGTCGAGCAGGCGCTGGGCGATGCTCTTCACCTGCTCCATTAACCGCGCCTGGGAGAAGGAGCGCATACAGACACAGCGGATTACTCCACGGAGCTCTCCAGAAACTTGTTCTGACCAAAACTGCGAGGCACATCCAGCCGTGGCGACGAGGATCACGACGCGAGGATCTCTGGGGACGGGCAGCGGGTAGCTTCATCGCTCCCCCCCCTGACCCATCACTTTCCACATCTTCGGACCGGCAGGTGGCTGAGACGAGTGATCTTCTCGAGGGACAAGACATGACATGTTCGCCAGCGTGGGCCCCAAACAATATCTTCGAGCATAGCGTGGTGCAAAAAATGTGGTGCAACCCGCGTGGTACAATCAAATTCTACTCGGAGTGAGTTGCCAAACTCTCTCCTCGCGCAATCCTCCCACCCACCCGCCAGCGACTTGGCTTGCACAAGCCCGTGCGGCGGCGATTGCGATGAGTGCTTGGCGTTGGCTGGTGCCTCTCTGCGGCCGCGCTATCCCGCGCACGCTCGCGCGCGCAGCGGCCAGCTAGTGCGGCGCGGCCGACGCGGCCGCGGTAGCGCTGGGCCGCTGGGCACTGCCCAGCGGGCACTCGGGTGCGAGTCGGCGACTTGGGCGGGCAGGGTGTAGCAACGTCGACAACGGTAGACATGAAAAAGCAAAACAACGATGTTCGATACGATGATGACAGCGACGACAGCGAGGCCAGAGACGGCGCCGATGCTGATCACGCCGACGACGATGACAGCGCTCCCGCGTGAAAGTTGTGGCATCCGTTCGACATGCGCGCGCCGCCGACGCGCGAAAGAGAGCCAGGTGGTATTATTTGAAACGGACCGTGCCCCCACAGAACGCGCGCAATGGCGTTCGAATGACGTCGACACGCGGCGCGAGAGGCCCGTTTGGCTAAATCTAAGCAACATGTTGAAATTCAATAGTTATCATGAGAACTCGCAAGACCGCGAGCGACAGCTTCTCTGGAAACTGGCATTGCGAAACTATTCGTTTTGTCGATGGTTCCGGGACGCACGAATCTGAAATCCTGCTGGCACCTATAGCTGCTGAAGGATTCGGGCGCGCGCGCGCGCGACGACGCGCACGCGTGCACTCCGTCCCGTCGTTTGCAGAGGATTCTTGCGACAGCACGCGCGCAAGAGCGTTCGAACGAATTCGACATGCGCGCGCGACGGACGCGTTCGGTCGCATTCAAAAGTTGGGAAACCAATGGATTTCTCAAATAATAGCAAGAGCGCGGGCGCGAACTGTTTTTGAACAATTCCGTTGGAAAACAATGTTCTTGTTCGAATGTTCTCGGGTCGCTCAATTTTGAAATCCTTGCGGGAAACAGAGTGTTTGAAGGATTTTGGCACACGCGCGCGCGACGACCCGCGCGCGCACTTCGCCCGATTAAAACCGTTGTTCAACGACTTTGCGCGCATACAATGGTTTGCGAGGATGAGGGGGGAGAAAGGGGAGGGACGATAATGGCCTGCATGGGATGGTATGAGTTCATCTGTCGGACGGACGACGGGGCATAATCGAATCTAACTTGCAATACGAAACAGGGAACTGGATAACTCGGGGGGGAGATCCTACTACTCTTCGGCACCATTCACCAATGCTCGCAATGAGTTGTCAGCTCTACTGCTCGCGCAATCCTCCCACCCACCCGCCCGCAACTTGGCTTGCAAACCCATGCGGCGGCGATTGCGATGATTGCTTGGCGTTGGCTGGTGCATCTCTGCGGCCGCGCTATCCCGCGCATGCGCGCGCGCGCAGCGGCCGGCTACTGCGGCGCGGCCGACGCGGCCGCGGTGGCGCTGACCGCTGGGCCGCTGGGTCCTTCCCAGCGGGCACTGCAGTGCGAGTCTGTGACTTGGGCGGGCGCGGCGACGCCGACGAACGGTGGATACGATGATGAGATTAGCGATGATGGGGGCGATGGTGGCGATGACGACGGCAAGGCCAATGACGGCGCTGATGTTGATCAGGCCCGCCGGTAACGATGACGATGGACCTCGCGTCGGTGTTTTGGAAGGAGTTCGACATGCGCACGCGGCCGACGCGCGCGAGTGGCCCGCGTGGTGTTATTTGACACGGATTTCGGATGAGTTCGACATGCGGCGTGAGAGGCACGTTTGGTAGAATTTGATGAAAATGTTTAGAGACCTCTGGTTTCTCAAGAACTCGCAAGAGCGCGCTGATGTTGCACAGCTACCATGTGTTTCGTATGTTTTCGGGACAGCCCAAGCCTTTAAATTGCAGCACGCGCGTGCAAACAACATTTGCGACAGCACTCGCGCAAAGGTGTTCGAGCTATTCCGGCACGCGCGCGTGAAAGGCCCGTTGGGTAGTATTTTATCTACATGTTGAGAAACACATGGCATGCAGAAGAATATGCAAGAGAGGAAGCGCAAGCCTTTGACACCCGATGTTGCAATCCTTACGAAGTATCATTTTTGGTTGTAAGATTTCGGCATGCGTGCGCGACGACGTGCGCGTGTGCACTTCGTCCCGTTGTTTGCAAGGGTTTCTTGAAAACGATCGAGTTGCGATAAAAACAAGCGTGCGCGCATATAATTTGTTGCAGAGGATGAGGAAGGATGCCAGCTTGCCTGGGATGGTATTAGTGAATATTTGGGATGGACGATGGGGCAGACTCAGTTGTAAACTGCACATCCCAAGCGGGAACCGATCAGTCTGGGGGGGAGGTAGATCCTATTACTCTTTTAGAAGGAATCAACGCAGTGCAATCTACGTGCTGCAATCGATGGGGTGCAAGCCATGTGGTGCAACGTATGTGGTGCTCTGTACGCGGCACTGTCTAAACGGTGCAACGCATACGGTGCAATCTATGCGGCTCGATCTACGCGGTGCAATCTACGTGTGGCGCGGTGGCGGCCGGGCGGCGACGGGGCGGTGGGAACATGGCGGCCAGAGCGGCCCGCAGGCCGAGGCGACGGACGGCGACGAGCGTTGACGAGGCGACGCCCGCGGCGACATGGCGGCCAGAGCGGCCCGCAGGCCCAGGCGACGGGCGGCGACAGGGCGGCGACGAGGCGGCGACGGCGGCGACCTGCGACCAGACCGGCCCACGGGCCCTCCGCGCGCAGTCTTTGGATCTGCGGTGGACCCCCCTTCCTGGCGCGCGGAGCGCGTCAGGGGCGGCGCCAGAGCCACTGCCAGGGGAGCCAAGCGCCGATCCAAGATATCCGCCAGCTGTTGGTCCCTCGAGAAAATCATCGAATCAACCACCAGCTGGTCCGAAGGCGTGGAAGGGTTCCAGGGGCGTTCCAAGAGGCACCCAAAGAGAGACCCGACGGACACCACGCATTGAATTGCAATCAAAAATCTTGGGAGGCGGTCCGCATGTTCGCCTTGCAGTGGCCCCGGAAATCGTCCCGCCGCTCCAGCCTGACACCTATAGACGCCCCTGGGATGATCCAGCGGTTTGGCGCTACCTCGAAACACGTTGAATGTTGACCAGACGTCTAGGGGCCTCCTAGACGGGATCGGGAAACTACAGGTTCGCGTCGTGTTGTCGACCCCGGCGTTGATTCCTGAATCCGCGGAGATCGTTCAAACTTGAGCGATCACTCCTTTGAGAAACGCTGAATCGTTTAACGATGGGCCGATTCTGTGCCACGCCTGCGCTGAGGTCGCAGCCGGTCGACACGACGCGAACCTACCGTAGATGGGGTCGGAAGATCTCGACGCATCGCTGCTACAGCGGCGATGCATCGGCGATGCTCTGGCGGCGTCGGTGATGCATCGGCGACGTCGACGTGAAGAAAGTCGGGCTCGGCATCGCGCCGCCTCGCCGATGCATCGGCGATGCGGCGCGATCCTGCGAACCCACCTACTCCGACCCCATCTGGGAGGCCTAGAGTTGAATGTGGACGGAGGGTCGCCTGCTCGGCCTCCGGGACCAAGTCCTGGGGAAACCAAAAAGTACTGATACCGCTACTCCCAGGACCTTTCCCGGGGTGCGTTCTGACCAGGATTTCGAGGCGAACCCAGCGGTGATGACGACGGCCTCCCAGGAGGACCAAACAGGGGAAATCTAGGGAAGGGTCGAGATATGGATACCTTCTCCTCCTCCGAGGTCCAGGATCCGCCGCCACTTGTCCGGGTGCCACCGCCGCAGCGCCCCCGCCAGCCGTCGCTTCGCCTGCGCCACCGCGTCGCCGGGCCGTACGCCAGTGATGCCGAAGGCGCCCTCGGGCGGCCACGGCACGTCGGCGAAGCGGATGGGCCCCTGGCCCCTCTCGAGCCGGGCCTCCAACCGGGCCCACGCGGCCTCGTGCTCCTTGGCAAAGGGGGAATGCTGGAACCGAACTCTACACACCGACGCTATTTCTGGCCCCGCACTGAAGTATGCACAAGAGAGCGGATCCTGGCGTACACGGGATCCTGGTGTATACATGTTTCTCTGTATCCCGGGTAGACCGGCGAAAAGTACACCACACCACCCCGACGTCGCCCCCGAGCCTCAAAAAGTCCTGGGATAGAAAAACAGCCAGCCACTGGTAATGTATATGCCCCAGGTTCAGAGGAAGGGCAGAGGACAGCATCAGCATCAGCCATTCTACGGCCTGCACGGACAGATCTGGTCGCGCGCTGGACCGCCCTCTACCCTGGCGCGCGCCAGAGGACGACGCCAGAGGCGCCGCCGACAGGGAGGCCCCCGCGCCGACCCAAACAAGAAACAAATACGAGGACCTCTACCAGATGGAGCGCCAAATGAGGAAAGACCCTCGTCCCAGACATGCGACGTCCTGATTTTTTCAGGACGGCGTCCCCAAAAAATCCCGACCCTTTCCCCAAGACCGGCTTTGCGTCCCGAGCCGTGGTTTGACGGTCCCCGGTGCCAAAACGGGCCCAAAACCGTCCGTCCTGACTTTTGTTGCCACGACGCGATCATGTCTGGGTTCGGGCCCCCACAGCGGCTGGCTGCACGAGGAGCGCTGGAGGAGTGGCCAAGGATGGACCCTCAGGGAACAGCGAGCCCCTGCCGCGCCCGACCGAGCCGGAGCCCGCTCCTCGGCCGCGGCGGCCACGCTCGCGGAGCGCGCCACGAGCCTCCGCCGGCTGTGCGGCGGCTGGCGGGCGCCGTTGCCGGGGGGCGGGCCCGGAGGCGGCGTGGGCACGCCGCAGCCGGCACCGAACCCGCTGCTGCGCGGGCGGTCTGCCGCGGGGCGGTCCGCCGCGCGCTCCTCGAAGCTGATGCCCGAGCACCGGCTGCGCATCTCCTCCGCTGCCGCGTCCAGGCGGTGGCGCCAGGCGGAGTCGTGCAGCTCCTCCTCGAGGCGCCGCTGCCGCAGGCCCTCCTCGGTGAGGCGCCGCCTGCACTCCAGCTCGGCCTCTTCGGTGATGCGCCTCATCTCGTCCCGCAGCTCGCTGGCCCGCCTCTCGCGGGCGTCTGCGCTAGGGGTGCGGCCGGACGGCGTGCGCAGCGCCGGGGGCCTCGGCGCTGCCCCTGCGCCGCTGCCGCCGCCTGGCTCAGCGCGCTGCGCCTCCGCCGCCGCGCCCAGCGCCTGGGCCTTCCGGAGCACCTCGTCCGCCCACTGCAGCAAGCCGTCGCCGCTGCCGCTGAGCAGCGCCGCGTCCTCGTCCTCCTCGCTGGCCGAGGGCGGCGGAGGGGCTGCGCTGGGCTGGCGCTTCTCGCCGCATGGGCGCCTCTCGCCGCCTGGCGGCGGCGGCGGCCGTGGGGCCTGCGAGCCTCTCGCGGTCTGCGGCGCCGCGCCGCTGTGCGGCCTCTGGCGCGGGCTGTGGCCTGCGGGGGGCGGCGGCACCGGCGCGGGAGAGGTGGCTCTCGGCGGAAGAAGGGGCTCGCCGCTCGAGGGGCCGCGCGGCGCGGCGGGGCGCTCGGCAGCACCGGCCGCGGAGCCAGGCCGCGACTGGGCCTGCTTTTGCTGCTCGAGCTTGCGCTGCTCCATGCGCGCCCGCAGGGCGTCCACGCTGGCGAAGAAATCGGCATCAAGCGCGGGGGCCGCCTGCGGGCCGGCCAGCCTGGCGGGGGCCTCGGGGCCCTGGGCCCCGTCGGCGGCGCACGCCGTGGTCGACAGCCCCCTGGCGAGGGCGCAGAGGAACTGCTGGCGGAGCTCGTCCGCGCCAGGCGCCGCAGGGGTCGCAGGCGCCTCCAGCGCCTCGGGCGCTTGCCGCTGCGGCCACGGCTGCGGCTGCTGCCCATCCAGGGCGGCCGCCGCCCCCGCCGCCACCGCGGCGGTCTGCGCCAGTTTGGCGCGCGCCGCCGCCGAGGACGCCGAGCTCGGCCGCGACGGGGCGCGCGCCGGCGGTTGAGAGGCCTCGGAAGCAGAGGAGGGCGCGGTGCCCACGCCCATCGACTCCATGCGGCACCGCAGTTCCTCGGCGGTCGTCTGGCGCGCCGAGGACGCCGAGCTCGGCCGCGACGGGGCGCGCGCCGGCGGTTGAGGGGCCTCGGAAGCAGAGGAGGGCGCGGCGCCCACGCCCATCGACTCCATGCGGCACCGCAGTTCCGCGGCGGTCGTCTGGCGCTGCGAGGACGCCGAGCTCGGCCGCGACGGGGCGCGCGCCGGCGGTTGAGAGGCCTCGGAAGCGGAGGAAGGCGCGGCGCTGACGCCCATCGACTCCATGCGGCATCGCAACTCCTCGGCGGTTGTCTGGCGCTGCTGCGGCGGCCGACAGCACCGGGCCTTCTCGCTGGCGGGTTCGTCCCTCCTGTGGGGGAACCAAAGGGTCAGAGTGAGGGGGCCGAACGGTCATTCATTGTCCCTGGGTGCGTGGCTGAACAAGGAATTTGTGGTGAGAATTCTGTTTGTTGCGTTGTTGGTCTTGCTGTCGTTTGTTGTCGTCGTCCCACCCCGCGACCCCCCCGCGACCCCCCCCGCGACCCCCCCCGCGACCCACCCCGCGACCCAGCCCGCGACCCACCCCGCGATCCACCCGCGACCCACCCCAGCGACCCACCCTGCGACCCACCCGCGACACCCCCGCGACCCACCCGCGACCCATCCCTCGACCCACCCGCGACCCACCCCGCGACCCACCCTCAAGGGAGGAACAGCCGACTGGCCCCTGCAATTGACGTTTACTAAACGGCCCTAGGCGTTTGCTAAACAGCCCTGCCCTGTTTGATTCATTCCGTGTGTGCGTTTACTAAACGGCTTCGCGTGTCGGGGTGATTTTTATGGGGTTGGTTTTCTGACCCCTACACCCGCGACCCACCCGCGACCTACCCCACATTGGTTTAACGAAAAAATCTGCGCCTGCGGCGAGCTCGTTGTATAATGTGTGAAACTTTGGCGCCTGCGGCGGGCTTCTCCAGAGTCTCGCAAACTGCCGACGTCCCCACCGCCCCCTCACTCTTACCCGCCTATGCGGGGTGCGCCGTACCTATTCCACTGCTCCCCGGACCTGTCCCGGGGTGCCTTCTGACCAAAACCTCCAGGCGAAACCCGCCGTGGCCACGAGCGCCACCCAAGATGCCCGAAACGGCGAGAACGAGGGAGGCAAGGCTAGCACCCAGAGCGACGTCGTATTTATTGTTAGACGCGGTGCCGGAAGTCTCGACCCATTCCTCAGGACCGGCTTTTCCTCCAGAGTCGTCTTTTGACGTCCAGGGCTCGGCGAGGGCCCCCAAATGCCGAAAATGGCGAAAAACCTCACATCATTTATGTTTTCATTGCTCGAAGGGTCTGCTGGGGTCGCCGACGCGCTTGTGAAGCAGTTGCGCAGCGTGTACCTGCCTCTACCTCACTTAGCTCACGAGGTTAATTGGCTAGGTAAGGTTTGCAGAGGGGCGTAAATACACTTAGCTATCTGGACCAACCCAGATTAAAAAAAAAGGCTCCGTGGAAGAGGAGGGAGGAGGTTGGGAGGTAAACCAGGCGGGAGAAGGCGGGAAGGAATGAGAGAGCGTGGGTGAGAGGAACAGTCCCCCTGGTAATCACTGGGCCTGCAGATGCATGCATTCCAGCGCGGGGGAACCCAGCAACGGAGTGCATGTGTTTTTTTTCAATCGGCCACCTCTGTCCAGTTCGCGAGTGCACGAAGAGGTTATTACAGCGCTCTGCTCTGCTACCGTGGTGAATTCAACGTGTAAATGCGATTCTTGTGGATATAAGAACTACGCAGAAAGTTCTGTCCAACATGAGATCTAATCAACATATCAATAACTGTTTTCTACCTATCGACCTAAGAACCACCCGGATGATCCCAGTAGGAGGATAGCAATATAAATACCGATTCCTCCTCTGATCCTCCACGTGAAGGCCGCGGCAGGCAGTGCTTCCGCCAACGCTGCAGCCAGCCGGCCCCTGCGCGCAGCCGTGTCATCCGGTGCCTCGGCCCGCGGTGCGCCGTCCTCGGCCGGCCACGGTGGCTCACAGACGTCCGCCATAGTGGCGCTCGCCTCGGCCGCCTGAGCCAAGAGCAGCGACCCAGGCCCAGACCCCCTCGAGCAAGACAAAAATCATCACGGGAGGTTTCTCGTCACCTTTGGCATCTGGGGGCCCTCGCCGGCCTCTGAGCCGTCAACAAACGACTCAGGTCGAGACCTCGGCGGGACGACGTTAGAAAAAAATCCTGACGTCGAGGGTCTGGAGAGGGGGCGCGGCACGGGGAGGCGAGGGACAGAAGAGAGGGTATGCCGTTTGGAGTCTACCGATTCGTCGCGATACTGCCCGTCACCGGCCCCGCCCACCTCCCCTGTTCCCCCTCTTCGTTGGCAACTCATGGGGGCCTCCCATACTATCTTGTCGGCTCTTACGAATCGGCGCACATCGAAGTTAGTCGACGCTAGTCGACGCTAAATCGACGCTAGTCTACGCTAGTCGACGCTAAAGCGGCACTATCCCATCGACTCCCAGACGCTAGCCAGCGCTAGTCGATGCCAACGACGGTGCTAAGAGGGTATGCCCGGTCCCCATGATGTGTTACCGAACCCCTCCCTGGTCACGTCACGATTCGCGCTGGCGTCCCGTCTAAGAATTGACCATTCCATAAGCATCCCCCGACACCGCCTGCGCGAGTCGTGACGTTGCCGGCCCCCTCCCCCCTTCCCCCCCCCAGGGTCGTGCCCGTTATGGCAAAGGGGTGAAGCAGGGGCTTGAGAAGGGGTCTTGTAGGCCGCTGTGGCAAGGACGCGGCGCCCCCGTGTTGCAACACAACGGGTCCACGCATCCGCGTTGCAACTGCAATGCCCCCCCTCGTGTTGCAAAGCGTCTGCTTCGTTCTGCACGCGCCGCCTGCACGCTGCAATCGCAGCGTCTCCGTGCTGCCATGCACGGCGCGCGTTCCAACAGCTCCGCTCATCTGACACCGTGACGTCGTTACCGCATGGCGATCGAAAAGTCTGGGCCTCTTCCCACAAAGCCCTTTCGTCCCGAGCCGACGAAGAGCAAAAGCCGCCCCGTCGTGACTCGTTCGCGACGCGGGGAGGCCACGGACTTCCTGATGCCTTCCCGACCCCACCTCTGACGATTTACCAGACAACCCCAACCCAACCCGAACACCAGAATTTCGGGTTGGGCGGGGTACGGGCTTCATATGTGTGTTTTCGATGTTCCCCGACCCCACCACAATGGAAATGGAGGGAAAATCGGGGTCTTCGGATTGAGGTGGGTATTCTCGAGTCGCCAAACCTCCCGGCCCTTTCATGAAATATCCTGATAGATGGTGAATCCATGGCGACTCCTCCGCCATCCAGCTCCTCACCCCTCCTCATCCTCCTAATCAGATTCCATCCTCCATCTTTGTCCCCTTCCTCTTCACCTCCTCCGTCCCCCTCGCCTCCTCCCTCCAAATATTCTAATTTTTTGCGCATGTTCATCGTCGATGTCTTGGTCGTCGTCCCCCTGCTGGGTCGGCGGCACCGGCCGCAAGGCCTTCGCCGCCTTCGCAATCTCCAACACATCGATCTTCTCGAGCCGCCACGCACCCAGACCTCTCGGCCCCCTCACGCAATAACCGCAACACATCTGGAGACGTTTCTCGACGGCCCTGGGGCCCACGAAATATATAGCCCCTGGGGCGGGTCGTCGCGAGAAACGTTCGACGCAATTCTGGAATAGTCGCCAGGAGACTGGGTTTTCCGCTCCCGGGCCTGCGGTGGTCCTCAGATCTTGCCGCAAAAGAATCATATGGTTTTGCGCAGAGCACCGGCCCCAGCATCCCGAACATGGTGGGATTGAGTCGACAGTTTCGCCAGGGCCTTTCCTCCCGCGTTCCGGAAAACAGCAGACACAGTTGTTGAGAAATCTGGCTACAAGACATATAAAAGCACATCCTGCATCGATTTTTGAATGATTTAACTTGCCCCTGTGCTTCCGGAGGCCCCCCACGGCCATCGGGGGAGGAGGATCGTTCGTGGGGCACCTGCTGGCAAGCAAGTTTTTTATTATGGGTGCCTGTTGTAAGAAAGCGGCGTGCTATCCCCCTTCTCCTCCTGCACCTCCACAGAGACCGAGGAACGCATGCCTCGCACGTCCACCCTTACCCTCCCGAAGTGCCAGGCGTCCATGCCAGGTCACCTTCCCTCCCCTCCCCCACCACACCCTGCACCACCGTCCTCAGCATCACCATCGTCACAATAGCATGCGTTGCCATCATCGCCACCACCCATCGCCACCACCCATGATCAGCCGTACCATCATCTCGCCACCATCGTCATGACGATAATTACCCGCCGACCCCCGCTTGCCAGGGGTGAAAAGGCGTCTGAAATATGTGGCTGTCCCCTTCCCCCTTTCCCCTCACCCAGGGCCCCAAACCCGATCAGATGGGGGAGGGTCTCCGCATTCCCCAACGACCCCTCAGGGGCCACCAGAACCTCCTCCAAGGAGCCTCCAGACAGCCGAAGAGGGTCCACAAAGAGCGCCAAGACAGTCCCAAATATCGTCGAGACGGCCAAGAGTACCCCCACGACGGTCCAAGGTTGCTTCGTGACGGCCCACGAGGCCCCCAAGACGACCCAAGAGTGCGTCCAGAGGGCCGCCGAAAGAGGAACAAAAAAAAAAATGTGCCCCGCTCCTTTCTGGGACAACGTGAATTTAGCACCGCCTGTTTTTCCGTTTTGGCAGCGTCCGGAACGACCCAAAGGTCTCCGAGACCGTCTCAAGACGGACCATGCTGCCCTCAAGAGAGCCCCAAGACGGCTCACGATGGCCCGCAGACGGCGCCAGGGGGCCCGAAGACGGCCCAAGATAGGCCCTCTTGGGCCCAAAGAGGGTGAATACGACTACAAGTGGAGCCTTTCCCCCAAGATGACCCCAAGCCCCCTGAAGGCCTCCGAAGCGCCCCCAAGAGGCGCCAAGAGGCCTCCAAGAAGCCCCCACGAGGACCCCAAGAGGCTATCAGAGGGCAATCCCCACCAAGCCGCAGCGCGCTGGGTTCGGTCGGCCACCCAGGTCGCCGCCGTAGGGGCCGCAGCCTCGTCACGGGTGGCTCTTCTCTCCCAGCCCCTGGCATGGCCCGTCTACTTGCGGTTGCTTCCCCTCCCCCCATCCTTGTCCTCCTCCTCCCTCCCTCCCTCTCTGCTCGCTGCTTCCCTCCGTTTCCTTTCCTCCTGCTCCCTGCCTGCTGTCCCCGCCTGGCCCCTCTTCTGTCTGCCCGCGCGCCCCGCCAGCCCTGGCCTCCCGCCTGGGCGTTCGTCGTCGTCTGCCTGCCTCTCCCGTCCTCGTCCCGTTCCGCCACTCAGCACAGCCTGCCCGGGACCAGCGTGACGCATAAACATGCAGGTGCATCCCCGCAGAACTCCGACCATTTCACCTCTGGCCCCCGAGAAGCTCCCCAGGTGCCAGAATGAGCCCTCAAACAACAACACGCTGCATATCCCTGTGACTCCTGGACTTTGTAGTAAACCAAGGCGACAAGTTTTAAGAGAACGTATCATGCGAGAGCCATAGTAAATGTTGAAGGTATTAGGTCTTCTCTCGTGCAACTGTTGCTCGCGACTCAATGTTTGATAAGCACATGCCACCCACGACTGAATAATTATCAGTCAGTGTTCTCTTATCCGGCGTTTCGGCATTGGGGGGAAGGGGAGGCTATTGGGGGGAGTCTAGCTCCAGACCTCGGTTTGGTGCGGCTGTTTGGAACCGTGCGTCGTCTGGCGGAGACTCCACCTATACTCAAACCAGGCGCCAAAAAAACAACCAAGATCTGGGGGGAGGACGGGGGGCTGCGAGGGCCCGCGGTGATCAGCAAAACAATGAATAAGAAAACGATCACTCATCCATCCGAGCAGCTGCTAGGCAAATGGAAACAGGGCAAGCGCGATCGACATACCTTGAAAACAGCTCGCCATCTACTCGTGCACATGCTGACGCGTTTAAGGCGGATCCGCGGGGTTTCCAGGCGAGAGCCAAGTTTTGAAAGCGGCCCGCCCACCACCCGCGCTCCTGCTGGCAATTTCGAGCTGCAGGCCACGGTGAAGCGGACAGCCCAGGCGAGACTCCCAGCCCGCCCTGCAGACAAGCTTGGGGGAGCGACAAGGAGGAATCACGCGGAAGGAGAAGGGAGAGAAGGGGGGGAAGAGGATGAAGAGAAATTGGAGGATGAGGAGGAGGAGGAGGGAGAAGACTGGAGAAGAGCAAGAGGAGGCAACGGTAGGCAGAAGGAGCAGGAGGGACGTTCGGAAAACGAGGACACGGAGGAGGGAGCAGCAGTCAGAGGGAGGAGAGAGGATCTTGGGACGGGAGAAGCAGGGAGGGAACAATAGTACGAGGCAGCAGGGGACAAGATAAGAGGGGGAAGGGAGAGGGCGAGGAAGATGGGGCGGGACTAGCAGACGTAAGCCCTAACCCTGTGTGAACGCCCGTAGGCGAAACAAATCGTTGCAGGACAGCTCCGGCTAGGATGCGTACGGCCGTGAGCGCAGCCGCTGCACGAAGGACATCACACCCGACCGCTTTTGTAAGAGGCGGCCCCAGAGGCGGACGACGACAAGAAGGGGAGAAAGAGGAGGAGGACCTCATCCGGCGCAAACGCACACGAACGCGTCCGTGCGAAGGCAGTCCCAGACTGCTATTGTTCGCATTCTGGCTCACCCAAAATCGGGATCCCTTCCCGGGGACCCGCTTTCATCGCCAATGGATTGTTTGACGATCCCAGGGCCCAATACGGGTCCCCCGAAGGCCAAAAACAAGTCTAAAACTTTCCGCCGTGATTTCTCCCACTGCGCGCGGAAAATTCGGACGCCCGAGATGGGTACGGAAAACACGATACGATGCCCAACAGCAAATGCTGTCCAAAAACGACAGCGGTCGCTTTTGGGCAGGCGACCTTCTGTCTCCAATGGACGACGTCCGCAGCGAGGCCGACAGCCTTTCCTGTTCAAAATGGGCAGAATTTGCTGTTAGTCTTCGCATGCATTCTCTCCGCACCCATTTCGATCCTCCAGAGAATAAGCGTCGGGCCAAACAACCTATGCTGCCGGAGGCCGTCAGAGGCCGTCCGGGACGACCCGTGCACTCCTGAAGCGCTCTAAGCGAGGAGCAGCTGCTGGAAAACATCCAGATGCTGAGAGACCTTCGTGACCCGACGAAAACGTGAACCGAACGGTGAGCGAACCAGAACGGTGAGCGACAAGCGAGGATCGGGGAGACGGAAGACTCGGATTCGTGGGACTCGGGTTGGCCTGACGGGGCCATCATGAAAATGGCGGGACCAAGTCTGACAAATTTGACGCGAGCTCCGGCTGCGAACATCTCACGATAACTCGACCGCCACAATCCAGGACGCGCTCGCAAAAAAGCGTCAGCTAACTCGCGTTCCATCGTGCTGGAGTCTTACGCTTCCCCGAAAGGCAGGGAGGGCAGAAGGAGGAAGGAGGAGGAGGAGGAGGAGGAGGAGGAGGAGGAGGAGGAGGAGGAGGAGGGCGGAGGAGCGGCGCGGGGCTCAGGCGGCTAGTAACTCCTGCCGAACAGGCACCAGCGGCGCGCGGGCTCCCCGGTCCAGAAGCAGCGGGTCCCTCGTCGGGAGCAGGCGCCAACTTCCCGCCCGCACCGGCTGAGGCGGCGCTCGCCCAGGAGGGGGATGGCGCGAGGGGGGCGGGACGCCCAGAGGGCCTCTGAGAGCCCAGAGCCCCTCGCGTCGTGAGCAAAAGCACGACGGGAGGTCTTTTGCGATGTGGGGCCTCGGGGGGCCCTCGCTGGGCTCCAGGACCGTCCAAAACTACTCGACATGAGAGAGCCGTCCCGGGGAAGGGGTCGAGACATCCGGGGGTCCACGCTGCGACGGAGTCACGGCGTCGGGAGTCCGGGACGGCAGGGGCATTCTCAGAGGGGCGGGGAGGCCAGCAAGGGGGCTTCTCAGAAGCCAGGGCTTCTGAGAAGCTCCCCTGTCTGCTTAGAAGCGCACCCGCCTTCTCAGACAGCCCGCCCACCCCCCCAAACAATCCCCCTGGCGCGCGTCGCAGGCCAGCCCTGTAGACCCTGGCCAGGCCGCTCCTGGGACGAGGGTTGAGTCAGGCATGTCCTCCTACAGGCGTATTTTGAACGAACAATAACACATACTAGAAACAATGCCCCAAAGTAATCAAAAAATGATGGAAAAAATGTCCCCACACCACTTTCTGCATATTTTGAAATTTTGCCTCCTGTAGAGGGACATCTGCCCGGCTTACGGCTAGGGCAGGATGAGGACAGAGCCGGGTCGGAAGACAAGTCGGGGATCTCTGAGGGCTGGCGGATCTGGAGGACGCATTCAGGCACCGCGGTCGTTCTAGAGCGCTTCAGAGCGCTCTCGGAGCATGATGCACGATGTGGCGCCCAAGGCATCCGCATCTCCTCCTCCCCCTGTTCCTCCTCCTGATTCCTCCTCCTCCTCCTCCTCCTGTTCCTCCTCCTCCTCCTCCTCCTTTTCCTCCTCCTCCTCCTCCTCCTCCTGCTCCTCCTCCTCCCCCTTCTCCCCCTCCTCCCCCTCCTCTCCCTCCTCCTCCTCCTGCTCCTCCTCCTCCTCCTCCCTAGGCCTGCCACGCCAGCCAGTGGGTATGACCCCCTGGCTAAGCCAGGATCGTGTATACGCCCCGATCCTGGGGCCAGGACGGGGCCTGACCAAGGTGGGGGTGCCCAGACATCCGGCTTCGAGAGAGCAGCCCGGCGCCGCGAAGCACCACGACCCGCTCTGGCGGGACCTCCCTGTAGCCGGGTCCATCCGTGAGGGCCCCGCCGCCCGGAACGAGGGAGAGCGCCCGCCGTGCTCCAGCTCGGCGCCCATGGGCGCCAGGACTATGGTGGGCGTCGGCCTCGACGACGTGGCGCATGCATCTTCTGACGCCGCGTGGGCTGCTGTTGACACTGGTAGGAGATGAAGAGGGAACATCTCTTTAAACATAAGAAGAACTGCTGGCGCTCCGCGCGGACCTCTTGGATCTGCGCCGGACCCTCCCTCCCTGGCGCGCGGATCCGAGGAATCCGCACGGAGCGCCAGAAGTTTAGGTGTCTGCCGTTTGTGCTCGGCCTCGAACTCAGACGATCTCCAGCCTCGGAGGTGAACGGAGCTCGTCGGCAACATCATGCGGCATCTCTCCAATAGCGCACGCGGGGGCTGCTTTCCATGGCTCCCCCCGGGCCAGGCGCGCCCAGTCGCCCGACGCTGCGCTCCAGAATGCTGCAGCGCGGCTCCCGGAGAGGTCTGGACCCCTTCTCCGCGGACCGCCCTCTCATCCTGAGCCGCCATTTTCTCGAGGGCCCCATTAGGGGAACGAAACATGGCATAAACATACAAACTCTGAGGTCCACGCGGATTTCCACGCGCTCCACGCCAGACCCCCCAGGCGGCGCCTCCGGCGCCGCCCCTGGCGCGCTCCAGCGCGGATTCAAGAAATCCGCGCGGACCTCCGCGTTGTTGTGCTTATGTCATTCTTCTTTCCCCTGCCCATGGCCTGGCAAGGGCACCCAGAGGCCGAAAACAGCCAAACACACTCCGTCGTGATTTCTCCAGGCTAATGAAAAACCAAAAGATGGCCCCTAACACTTCGGGAGGGGACGTACGTTAGGAGGTCCAAAACATTAGGGATTGGGTTTCCTTCCTGAAGATGTATCGAACCAAACCGCCCGAAGCTGTTATCACTACTGCGGAGACGGGGAGCTCAGTGAGGCCACATCTTCATCGTGCTATTCGGGTTCAGAGTTCTTCTGCTCTCGATGAGCGAAGATGTCATGGATCGCTCTCAACGTCCGCGCCAGCAACGCAGTCGCAGCGAGGCCGCGCGAGTCTGCCGGAGGCTTCCAGAGATGCCCGGGAGTCTCTGGAGGCCGAGGGGTTTCGCCGCGAGGGCCCACCAAGAGCCCAAGGGGGCCTCCGGGGGCCTCCAGAAGACGATCCGCCTGCGGAACCTCCGAAATCGTCCGCAGGTGGACCCAGACCTCGTCCGCGTCTTGAAGAATACGCGACCGAAAGTTGTTTGGTAAGGTCAGAAGAAGTAAAACAAGAACACCAGCGATACGATTAAACATCATATTATTAATAAGAACACTAAACATCCAAAATAAGAAACATAATAAAAACAAGCAATAGATGCCGTAACATAACCTTTCGGCGTTACGCGCGGCTTCCTTCGATCCCGCGCCCGACCACTCTCCCTGGCGCGCGGAGCGCGCCATGGGGACTCGCTCCTGGGGCCAACCGCGGATCCAAGACATCCGCGTGGAGCGCCAAAGGCTTATGTTTGTAACGCTTTTGCTTCTTCGAGTTTAGGCCCTGGGGCACTCTGGCCAGGCCCCTGGGACCGTCGAGCCAATGCTCGGGATGGGAGCCCAATCCCTGGTAAGAGGGCCAGACCTCTGGGGAGCGACGTTGCGAAAAACACCACGCCATGAAGGAGAAGGAGGAGGAGGAGGAGACGGAGGAGGAGGAGCAGGAAGGAGGAGGAGAAGGATGATGATGATGATGATGATGATGATGATGATGAGGAGGAGGAGGAGGAGGAGGAGGAGGAGGAGGAGGAGGAGGTATGGAGGCCCTCATTGGACCCTTCCTCCGCAGCCAGATAAACAGGTAAGAGGAGGAGGAGGAGGAGGAGGAGGAGGAGGAGGAGGAGGAGGAGTAGGAGGAGGAGGACGAGAAGGAAGATGAGGAGGTGGAGAAGAAGCATGAGGAGGAGCAGGAGGAGCAGGAGGAGGAGGGGGAGAAGGAGAAGGAGCATCAGCAGGAGGAGAACGTCGCGCTGGGGCGCGGTTTCGTGTGTGTAGTCTTGGTCGCAGGGGCTGCCGAGGGCCATCGGACGCCCCAGGGCACCGCAGGGCAGCCCGCTCGGAGATCTGCGCGGGGCCAGCGGACCCTGGCGGGATCCAAGGAGACACGAAAACCCTCACTTTCGAGCGACAGCTTGCGTGATTTTTTAAGCATCTTGTTGGTTTTCGACGTTGAGAGATGTGTTTTCAGATTGCCGCTCCCCGAATGATTCGTGCCATAGTTTGCGGAACGAGCGGGAGGCAGAGGGAAATCGGGGGAGCTTGCTATTTTATGTGCTCGATAGGTTCGAGGGGATTTCTGGGACCCCCTCTGACCCAAACGATCCGCGGGGACCTCCAAACAAATACTGGGGAAGTCCCCATGGGCCAATACGCGTGCGTAGGGTTGTGGCGACATGGGGACGTGCCGCCATGCGGGCGCTGGCACCGGCGCCGTTGATCGAGCTCCTTATGGCTTATGAGGCCACGAAACGTGTGAGGGGTGCGCCGGGATGGAGGACCGACACCATGCGGACCCTGGCATTTGGGGCTCCGGCGGAGCTCACTGTGGGGCCACGATGCGTGTAAGGCGTGTGCCAAAATCGGCGCGGCGTTGCCATGCGGACCCTGCCGCTGGGGTCTTCGGTGGAGCTCCCTATAAGGCCACGAAACGTGTGAGGGGGGTGCCGAAATGAGGCGGCGACGCCATGCGGACCCTGGCATTTGAGCTGCACTTGGAGCTCTCCATGGGCCACGGAACGTTTGAGGGGTGTGCCGAAATGGAGCAGCGACACCATGCGGACCCTGGTATTTGATCGTAGTTGGAGCTTCTTATGGGGCCACTAAACGGTGAGGGATGTGCCGACATGAGGCGGCGACGCCAAGCGGACCCTGGCATGTAGGCCTCAGCAAGACATCCCAATGGGGCCACGAGGCGTGTGAAGGGCGCGCGGAAACGAAGCAGAAGACGCTCGAGCTCTTTTGTCATTTTGGCCTTAGCTCGAGCTCCTGATGGGACCACCAAACGTGTGAGTGGTGTACCGAAATGAGGCGGCGACGCCATGTGGGCCTGGAATTGGGGCTGTGGTTGAAGCTCCCTATGAGGCCACGAAGGGATGAGCGATGTGCCAACATGAGGCGGCGATGCGGACACTATCATTTGGGCCTTAGCAGAAGATATCCCTGGGGCCACGAAACGTGTGAAAGGTGTGCCGAAATGAGGCCGTGACGCCAAGCGGACCCTGGCATTTGAGCTGTAGCTGGAGCTACCCTTGGGGCCACGGAACGGTTGAGGGGTGTGCCGAAATGAGGCGGCGACGGCATGCGGACACTGGCATTTTGGCCTTAGTTCGAGCTCCTGATGGGGCAACGGAATGTTTGAGGGGTGTGCCGAAATGAGGCGGCAACGCCATGTGGACCCTGGCATTTGGCCTGTAGTTGGAGGTCCCTATGAGGCCACTAAATATGTGAGGACATGCGGAAGGCAGAGAAGCAATGATCCTCGAAGCCGAGGATCAGAGGGAAAACTCCTGGGAGGCTTCCGTGTGGGACGACTCAGGGCTCTTGAGCCCGAGTGACGGGCCATTGAGCCGGAGAAGCCCAAATGAATACAAAGACTAAGCAGAAACAAGCCGGAGTGAGCTGGATCGAGCGGGATTTTGCGGGACTTGTGAATCAAATCTCCCAAGAGTTCCATCCAAACCTCCAGGAGAATGAAAGCCCAGTCTCTGACATCCGTCGGAATGATCTTTGAACCCTCGGCCCCACGGGTACTGTCGTCCCCTTTCCAGGGGATGTGCTCTCCCCAGAGATCTGTTTTTGATGGGGCCCCCGTGGCCAGAAAGCAGCCTCCGAGGGCCGAAACCACGGACAGAAAAAGTGGAAAAACAAACCTCCGAGGGAAGAGGGCAAGAAGAAGGCAAGTCCGACCGGGCGACTCGAAGAGCCGCACGCCCCATGATGGGGACGGGAACGAAGACTGTGAAACAACAGAGACGACTAATTTTACAACATACGAATAACCCCCCTCGAGGGAAGAAGTCTACGGACAAAAACACCGAACCCCAGGGGGGGCAATTGGCGCCTCCCGACCTGGCGGCAGGTGGGGCTGCTCCAGGGGAATGCACAGGCTCTTCATGGCCCCGGTCAGCTCGCCGGGCGCCGAGGGGGCGCCGAGCTCCCCACGCGTGGCCTCGGAGACCGCGTGAGGGGAGTGCGGGGAAGAGTGCAGAGCGAGGGGGGGAGGGAGGGAGGGAGACGGGGGGACAAGGGGGAGAAGGAGAGTGCGGAGGAGAAGGGGGCGGGAGGCACGAAAGAGGGAGAAGGAGGAGGGGAAGGAGGAGGAGGAGGAGGAGGAACGCGAGGAGGAGGAGGAGGTGGAGGAGGAGGAGGAGGAGGAGGAGGAGGAGGAGGGGGATGGGGAGGGGATGCAGAAGAAGAAAGCATGAGGAAAGGAAGGGAGGAGGAGCATGAGGAGGAAGAGGGGGATAACAACGAGGAGGAAAGAGCACAGAAGGAGGGAGACGAAGTCGCCTCCTTGATCGCCTCCTCCGACACCGCGCTCTCGCCCCAGGGCGCCAGCACCAGCTTCTTGGCGCTCAGCGCGCCCGCGACCTCATCGGGAAGCGTGGCGGTACCGACGCAGCTCCACCCCCGACCTCTCCGGGGGGCGCCCTGACCAGAAAACCCGGGGGCGGATGCAGCCGTGGCGACGGGGGCTCCCCAGGAGGCCCGAGGAGGCAAGCACGAGGCGAAGGGCGTGCCGGCACTGTCGGTGCTGTTGGTCTCCTCCTCTGCACACCTCGCCCCACTCGGTGACCCTGGCGATGGCGCCGTCGCGCTCCCGCGTGGCCCTGCCGAGCATGTCCGCGTGCATCCGCCCCAGCTCCGCCTGCACCGCGGGCCCGAGGTCCGCCTGCGGCAGGTCGGTGCCCTCCCCGCTGTCGCGGCGGACCACCCGGCAGGTGCCCCGCTCCAGGTCCCTCGGCCCCAGCTCGATCCTCGAGGGGCGGAGGCCCAGAGATCCTCCACAGTCGGCCCGCATCGGAAGGATGCACGATGAAGGTGCAAGGGCCTCGGACGCCCCTTTCTGAGCTTCTCGAGCGGGGCGCGGCCAACGACAGCGGCCAAGGATGGGCCGAGGGTACCCTTGGGAAGGTTGCCCCTGCGGGTCGACTGTAGATGGCGCTTGCTCTCCGTGTTCGGCCTCCCGAGGCCCTCGCCGGGCCCCAAGCCTGTCAACAAGGGTGAGAGGACGGACCCCTGAAGTAGGTCGAGACGTCCAGGGACCCCGCATTCAAAAAAAAAACGAAGACATCGGATCTCTGGGCGAGGGACCCTGAGACCCGGAATGTTTCGCACTGGGCGTTTTCTCCTGGTGCCGAGCCCTGGTTCTCCGGCTCGAGCAATGCCGCAGAAAGAGAAGGGGTCTCGAGCTCCAGTCGTGGCTTGTCGCGATGTTGCACTAGTCTCGCAACGTCGGATCACAGGGGGTAGAAAAAGATCCGAACCATGGCCACAGGAACGCGGGTCATGAACGTGAGCCCCTTCCGCCGGCCAAAACACCCCAGGATGCACAAAAACATCAAACACGTACGAAGAACACTAGTAGACAAAAACGGCATAGACATAAGAAATTGGCGCTCCGCGCGGATTCCTTGGATCTGAAATGGACCCCTCTCCCTGGCGCGCGGAGCGCGCTAGGAGCGGCGCCGGAGGCGCCGCAAGGGGGGCCCAGCGCGGATCCAAGAAATCCGCGGGAAGCGCCACAAGTTTATGCGTATGGCGTTTGTTCTCGGTCTAACTAGAACATCCAACAAGCATGAAACACAACACCTGCCCCCCTCATTCGTCCGGACCTTCCGCTCTCACCTTCCGCCCCTTTCTCGATTTGATTTAGGCAGGCTTCCTTGAAATGCATAAGGTTTCCACGAACGTCGACGAAGATCGGAAGGTCTGGAAGGTGGAGGTGGAGGTGGAGGGCACCCTCCCCGAACCGACCCCGATCTGGTGCCCTGGTCTGCCCGTGCCCGATGGGCCGCGAGGACCCCCCGGGGAGAGGTCTCCGCTCGCGCGGCGGACTGTTCCCCGGGCGGCCTCCCCGTGCGCCCACGGGGAGGCCGGGTATATTTTGGTCAGCTGGCTGATGGCGGGCGAGGCGAGCGGCAGATCTCGCACACCACACCATCCTTTCCCTATAGAGGATGGAAAAAAACGCTGTGAGCAGAAACTTGTGGAATTTCGCGCGGGTTTCTTTGATCTGCACCGTACACCCCTCCCTGGGCGGCGCTGGAGGCGCCGCCAGAGGGCCCCAGCGCGGATCCAAGAAGTCCGCGCGGAGCGCCAAAAGTTTGTTGTCATGGCGTTGTCTCTTCTTCTCTGACTCCCATTTCCCCCTTCCGCCCCCTTTCGTCCAACACGATCTTGAGAGACGTGCCCTTCAGCTCTCCCCCTCCTTATCTGATGCGCTCCCCTGACAAGGAACGCCGGCGAGAGGGACTGCTGAGACTGCGGCGTTTTGCAGCTCTGACTCTTCGAGGTGCGGGGGAGAGCGTCGCGCGACGACATCGCGGGCCAACCGAGCGGCCTCGAGACATCGGCATCGCCCGTGTCAGAGTAACTTTCCCTGGGGCCCCGTTTGGAACCGCATGACTCTCGTCCGACCCGATTTCCCCCCCACCCCACCCGCCCTTCGTCCGACACGATCCTGAGGGGCGTGCCCGATCCGATCCCCCCCCTTTCTGAGGGCTCCCAGGGACACACAAACACAGAGACACAAATCCCAGGATCCACCCCGTTTCATAGATGTTCTGGATATTCGTCTTCCTCCCCCCACACTTCGTGTATTTGCCCATGGCTTCTTGGCAGTCGAGGATTGCTTGTGTCCTGATGTCTTTTGCCCTCCTGACTTTCGTCCGACCCCGATCCTCAGCGGCGTGCCCTTCAGCTCCCACCAGTGGAACTTCCACCCCGAGGAGTGGTTCGCGCGCAGGTCCGCGTCGGCGCGCACGCCCGCCGCGCGCAGGCTGTCTCGGAGATCCTGGCACCTCGCATCGATGGAGGCATTGCCGTTCTTCCTGGGAGGAGCAAACAGCGTCTTCAGACCAGAAACTCTCGGAGGCCCGTGGGGATTTCAAAGATCGACTGACTCCCCCCTCCCCAGCGCGCGCAGCGCACCGGGGGCGGCGCCAGAGGTGCCGCCAGCTGGCTCCGGCGCCGATGCGAGAGAACTCCGCGTGGACCTCCGACTGCTCCTGTTCTTGCAATTTGGCGTTCCCCGATGTCCCCTTTGGGTAGATGGGGACGATGACGGCCTGGAGCTGCGCGACGCGCGGAGGCAGGACCAAGCCGCGGTCATCGCCGTGCACCATCACCATTATGCCGAGCGCACGGGTGGTGAAGCCCCAGGACGTCTGCTCCACCAACTTCCGCTGGCCCATCGCGTCCTCGTATGAGATGTCGAACATGCTCGCGAAATTCGTGCCCAGGTGATGCGAGGTTGCAGCCTGGATGCCCCTGCCGGACGTTGGTATAAACGCCTCCAAGGTCAGCGTGCTCTGGCCGCCGGCAAACTTCTCTGACTCCGACTTCCTGCCTTTGACAACAGGGACCGCGAGCAACTGCTCGTAAACCTCGGCGTAATGGTCCAGCATCGTGGCAACCGTGTCCTCCGCCTCTTCCCGCGTCGCGTGCGCCGTGTGCCCTTCTTGCCACAAGAACTCCCTGGTCCGCAGGAACGGAGTGGGTTGCTTGAACTCCCAGCGGACAATGTTCGACCACTGGTTGAGCTTCAGCGGCAGATCACGGTGAGACCGGATCCACTTGGCAAATGCAGGATACATGATGGTCTCGCTCGTGGGACGCACGGCAATGGCCAACAGGCTGAGATCCATCTATTGAACAGCCCCCTCCCCCAGACCCACGAGGTGGCGACGATCGGCTATCCTGCGAAATCCCAAACGGGCCCAAACACATGAATTTCTCCGGTGAGGCCTCCAAGAGGCCCACAGAAGTCTCGAAGCTCTACCTTGTTGGCGATGCTCCTTGAATGCTCATCTACTTCCTACGATCTCTTCTTCTTGCTGCTCGCAGGGGCATCGCTTCTGGACGGACTGTTGGGGAGACGGGGACAACAAAGAACTGCGTGATTCCGCCCACCTCCCAGGAGACTAATTTTCGTCGGCGGCGAGGCGGGACGATCCACTCTAGCGTGGCAGCGACGCAGGGGCACTAAAGAGCGAATTGGCCGGCATGCACGAGGAGGGACAAAAGAAGCAACGGGCGGCCGCGGGGAAGGAGGGACGGGCGAGCACTCAGAGGCGGAAGACTTCCGCCATGAGCAGCCAAGGCGGCCCGCGGGCGGTGGGGACGGAGTCCGGGGGGCCCGGGGCTGGAGCGCCAGCCACCTCCCAGGGACAGGCGGACATCATAGCAAGAAGCCGATCCACGCACGCGGCGGGACCCCAACGCAGCACACGCCGAGCCCCCCCCGCCGGACGCGCACGCACAGGAGGCCAGCGCCACTCTGGCCGCACAGCGGGGGCGCAGGGCCGGAGAGACACGCGGGCACGCTCGCACATCCGAGGCTCTCGCCCCGGCCTGCCACGTGGGATGTGCCCAGCATCTGGGCAGAATCGAGGAGCACAGCAGCTCAGAAGCGAAAACTCTCGGAGGTGCGGGCGGATGTCTCGGATCGGCGGTGGACCCCCCTCACTGGCGCGCGGAGCGCGCCAGGGGCGGCGCCGGAGGCGCAACCAGGGGGGCCAAACGCCAATCCGAGAGATCCGCGCGGAGCTCCGCAAGTTGATGTTCGTGCAGGTTTTCTTCTGCCGACCGGACTGGAGACCACGGCCCCCCAGAGGCGTTTCTAGGGCAGTGGTGCGGGATGCCAGCCTGTCGAGATGGGCCTCTTGAAGTCCGAGGTGCCCGAGCGCGTCACCCACGCGACCTCCGGAGCAAAGCCTTCCACGTGACTCCTCTCTGCCTCGAGCGCGTCTTGTAGGGAGCGGAGAGCAGTGCTCCTGACTGTCTCGCCCTCCCTTCCTCCGTCCTGCCCCCTCCCAGTCTCGTTATGATATGTTGTGATAGTTGTTCTCGGAAAAATCCGTATAATCGTTGCGATCGTCGTTGTGGTCGTTGTTATCGTGATTATCGTTGTCATCCCTCCTTCCCTCGGCCTCTGGGAGAGCGGGGCAGGTGCGCTGATACTGTGCTCCCCAGGCCTTGGCTCACAAAGCAAGGAAAATAGGCGTTCTGGACACCCTCTCTCTTTATCCGCAGGTCGAGCTCCTCGGTGATTTTCTCCCAAATGGAGAAAGCCCACGGTCTCAGAATGTAGCAGCCGCTTATGTCGTAGTACTCGATCATCTCGGACTTCGTGATGACCTGCGTGTACCAGGACGAGAAGTCCTCGGCCTTGCTCGCTGTGACGCCCCCTCTCCTGGCCGACACGGCGCTCGACTGGCGCACATGCCCGGCCAGAAGGGGGCACACCTCCAGAGCCCCCCCCGCAGGCCTGCCCAACAAGGCCAGCACACCCGACCGCCTGCCAGCGGAGCCGATCGCCAGTCTCAGCGCCGCCATCCCACCAGCGGGTCGCCACTGGAGGGCAGGCGGTGCCGTGCCACCTCGCTGGACTTCTGCGAGCGGGCTCTCCTACGCGAAGCGGCTGCGACCTGCACGCCAGGCCTGCACGCCATGCGGCAGAGCTGGCCGGGCGCACGCATCGAACCGAAATAACTACGGACCGAACATCGTACTGAAGATCCGCAGCCGTGGGCGCGGATAGTACCGCTCGCGGAGGAGGAGGAGGAGGAGGAGGAGGAGGAGGACGAGAAGGAGGAGGAGAAGGAGGGAGGAAGAGGAAGAGGAGGGAGGAGGACGAGGAGGAGGAGGAGGAAAAGGAGGAGGAGGAGGGAGGAATGATGAGGAGGATGACGAGGAGGACGAGAAGTAGGAGGAGGAGAACAGAGCTGTTGTTCGCTACCTAGGCTCTGCCTAGAAGGGTTCTTACTCGGTAAACTTAAAGGGCCGGGCAGTGCAACTCGCCCCGGGCGGTTCCCCCAGTATCCGCCCCGCGGTTCTCCCAGCTACGTCCCCTTAGCTCAGTGTTGCTTATCTCATCTCAGCTTAGCTCATTTCATCTTAGCTTAGTTTAGCTTCATCGTCTCTCAGGTTTCTCGTAGCTTAGCTTACCTTCAGCTTCGCTTCGCTGAGCTTTAGCATAGCAGAGCACAGCATAACATAGCATAGCGCAGCATCGCATATCATAGCATGGGTGTAATTCCCGACCTAGGCTCTGCTTAGAGGGTTAGCTTAGCTTTGCTTAGCTTAACTTAGCATAGAGCAGCGCTGCATTAGCATAACAAGCATAGCATAGCATCGCATAGCGCAACTTAGCATAGCATAGCTAAGCTTAAAGGGCCGGGCAGTGGGGCTCGCCCCGGGCGGTTCCCCCGGCATCCGCCCCGCGGTTCCCCCAGTGACGTTCCCTTAGCTTCGCGTTGCGTATCTTATCTTAGCTTAGCTTATTTCATCTTACCTTAGCTTCGCTTCATCCTACCTCAATTATATGTCCTACCTATATTCTGCCTAGAAGGGTTCTTACTCGGTCAACTCAAAGGGCCGGGCAGTGCAACTCGCCCCGGGCGGTTCCCCTCGCATCCGCCCCGCGGTTCCCCCAGTGACGTTCCCTTACCTTAGCTTTGCGTATATCATCTTAGCTTAGCTTAGCTTAGCTTCATCTTAGCTTCGCGTAGCTGTAACTTAGTTTAGCCTAGCTTAGCTCAGCCTAACTCAGCTTAGCTTATCTCATCTTGGCTTAGCTTAGCTTCGCTTCGCTTAGCTTAGCTTGGCCTAGCTTAGCAGAAGCAAAGGCAAAAGGCGAAAACAAAGGCAAGAGCAAAAGCAAAGGCAATGCAAAGCAAAAGCAACACCGATGCGAAAGTGTAGATGTAGATGTAGATGTAGATGTAGATGTAGATGTAGATGTAGATGTATATGTAGCTGTAGCTGTAGATGTAGATGTAGATGTAGGTGTAGGTGTAGGTGTAGATGTAGATGGAGATGTGAGTCTCGCTGTTGATGTTGATGTTGATGTAGATGCAGGCAGGTGTAGATGTACGTGTAGCCGTCGGTGTAGATATAGATGTTGCTTTCCTAAATGCTCTAACTCCTAGGTAGGGTCGCACTGGGATAATTTATCATACTCTGCAAGGAAAGATTGGCAGGCGATGCGGGAGTCTCGGTCGCTGGGCGCCCCTGCCCTTCCATGGCCGCCTCTTGCGCTGGCTGGCTGACCGTCGACAGGGGCAGCCGTCGTCCGAGAGCGCAGGCCCCCGAAGGCCTCCGGAAGGCCCCGGGTCCGGGGCCTCTCGGAGGTCCTCGGAAGCCTCCTGCACAGCCCTGGACATGTTTTGTTCTGTTCTGGCAAACGCCCGCCCCGTCAGAGGTCTGATCTGCACTCGGCGCGTCACATGCAAAGCTGGCTGGACAGTTGTCAAAACGTCTGTCCGAGAGCTGGCCTGACAATAAGAAGGGGCGCGGCAACTGTGCACACTGCATACATATCGCTGACACGATGACAACGCTGGCCCTACGGAAAACGGCTTTAGTGCGCCCAGAACAAGCAAGTCTTACACAGCGACGGAATATTGATGCAAGTTTCACAGTCGAGTTGGTTGATGCGGTGTCCTGTTGTGTGTGTTTTTGGTCCGTCTTTTCTCTCTCTGGGGGCTGGTCTCGAGCCCCCAGGCCCCCGAAAACTGGCCAGGGAGGAACAGAAACCATGCCCCGGAGGTCCTCAGGACGGAAAGGTGCATGACTTTTTCAGGGGGGGTGGGGCCTTTGGTCAGCGGGAGACAGCAGGCACCGGGGCCCACCCGAAACATGCATTCTCAACCCCCTGAGCCACAGCCCGCTCACGACGGGTCCTTGGACCTCTCCTGAAGTCCACCCTGGCGAGTCCCCCGAGCCGCATCCTGCCGTTTCGACGAGCGCTGCCGCGAACGCCCCATCTCCTCCAACATTGCAAGTCCTCCTGACGCACTCACTCAGTCATGGAGGTCGTAGGTAGCTCCCGCGGCCGCGCGAACCTTTCCTGCCCCTCCAACCCGGCAAGGACCGTGGTGGGAAAAAGGTGAAGAAAAAACGATGTGCTAGCGGTGGAAGATGGTGAGAGCAACAACGTGCAGAGATAATCTGACCGAACTAGGAGTGGGGAAGTGGGGCGCCCGAACAAAACAGCAGGAGCGGCGGAGGTGGGTACGTAGGTGGGAACGCGCGGGAGGCGAACCTGTTGGAGGCGGTGCCAACAGTGCGGTGGGTCAGCAATGTCACCAGGGCAAAAGGGAGCTTGAGCATGCTAAAGAGGAAATGGAGATCCTGGTGCCTCTAATGGGCCGGCTGGTGGGCTGCAGTTGCCGTGCTTGTGAGGTGGAGGCGGAGGGCCGCTGTGGCTAGCTCTATTGGGGGCCCCAGCAGTAGGGTCGCTCTTTTTGGGGCGCGGGGAAGACCCGTCGACCCTACATATTGCAAAGCGTGACCTCGGCGGTGAGCATGAGCAGGATGAGCGCGGGCGGTGAGTAGAGCATGGCAGGCGCAGCCAAAGCCTAAGCGCAGGTGGGTGGGTGGGTCAGTCGCAACAAATTCTGTGCGTGTCATTCCTTTACCCGCCATATCTCCTCCACCACCTCCTCCCTCCCCAAGCCTCGCCTTGCCTGTCTGCCTCAGAGGTGGAGGTCGCCGAGGAAATCGAAGTGGACAGAGTAAACGAAGTAGGAGAAATGGCGGCGAGGGTGCCCTGCCTCTTCCTCCGAGGTAGGAGTCGCCGAAGAAAACGCCGTAGATATAATGAACGAGGTCGGAAGAGCAGGTTGATGCGCATGACCTGTGCTGGACCTGTCTGCTCGTCGGAGGTGGATGTCGATGAAATAATCGACGTAAACGGGACCTTCGGTGTCGGAGGAGTGGTTGGCCAATCCCTTGCCTTCCTCCGAGGGGCGCGTCGACGCGGAAGCTGGAGTAGGTGGGGCGCGAAAGGTCGAAGGTGTGGCTGTCCATTGGTGGTTTTGCGCGGTGGTGGATAGTATTACCTGTGGTCGGCCTCGGGCGCGCTGGCACCTCGCGCGGCTTCGCTCAGCGGCGAGGACAGCTATCGCCAATGGTTAGGGGCGTAGTTGGGTGACGTAGTCGTTGAGCTTGTCGAGGAGCTGCTTGGCGAAATCGCTGGCCACGGCGAATTCCTTCTAAATTGCCTCGACCGTGTCGTAGCTGACCTGCGGTTATCCTGCCATTGTGGCGAGTGTGTCGAGCTCGTCCAGGATGTCATGGTGGTGGGGCCGGTAGTCGGTGATGGTGTCTGCGATCAAGGCCTGTTTGCTGCTTCGCATGCTGTTGGATTGACCGATGGTCCCACGTGCCCAAAGCTCGTTGGTTGTTGGAGGACATGTTGAGTATTGTGACCTCGTCTTCTCTTTGTTGACACTGATGGTGCTGTGGGCAAGGGAGTCTTCATGCTTGGTGTAGTATGGTTAGCGTATGGTGGCGCCCATAGGGAAGGTGATTGCGTCTGGGTCTACTTTCTCCTAGGTGATCGTCGCAACTGGGAAACAGCCGGTGGGCTTCTGGGGCTCCACACGCATGGGAAACAGGCGGTTGGCAATCGCGCTGGGCGTCGTAATATTTGGCGTCGGGTCGGGCGAAGTGGATGCGTAGCGTGCATGTTTTCTCCTGTTGTGGATGCTTCCAGCTCGGTGCTGGTAGTGTCTTGGTCGATCTTGTCTTTTGCGTGTCCTGCGTTGTCTTCTTTGATTGTCGGCATGATGGATGGGGCATCGAACATTGCGGGCTTGTGGTCTGGGTTGAGCGTGTTTTGAGGAGATGTGGTGGGCTGGACTGGATGTCACAGGGGATGGTGCGGTTGCTGGCATTCTGCTTGCCATTGTACTGCCGATGCTGGTGGGCATGGTCGTGCAAGTCTCTCGGGCTGTGTTGTCGGTTGCAGACGCCGGTGCGAGTTGCTCTTTGTGGGTGGTTTCTCCCTGTGAATGATGCCGGCGTTTTCGTAGTAGTCGGAGTAGTACTAGTAGTAGTAGTAGTAGTAGTAGTAGTAGTAGTAGTAGTAGTAGTAGTAGTAGTGGTAGTTGTCGTAGTAGTCGTAGTCGTTGTAGTAGTAGTAGTAGTAGTAGTAGTAGTAGTAGTAGTAGTAGTAGTAGTAGTAGTAGTAGTAGTAGTAGTAGTAGTAGTAGGTAGTCGTAGTCGTAGTAGTAGTAGTAGTAGTAGTAATAATAGTAGGTAGTTGTCGTAGTAGTCGTAGTCGTCGTAGTAGTAGTAGTAATAGTAGTGGTAGTTGTCGTAGTAGTCGTAGTCGTTGTAGTAGTAGTAGTAGTAGTAGTAGTAGTAATAATAGTAGTGGTAGTTGTCGTAGTAGTCGTAGTCGTTGTAGTAGTAGTAGTAGTAGTAGTAGTAGTAAGTAGTCGTAGTCGTTGTAGTAGTAGTAGTAGTAGTAGTAGTAGTAGTAGTAGTAGTAGTAGTAGTAGTAGTCGTAGTCGTAGTAGTGTAGTAGTTAGTAGTAGTAGTAGTAG